GAAAGGTTACAGGTTCGGTCCCCAGTCAGGGCGTGTATGGGAGACACCGACTGATATTTCTCTCTCAGAACAGTGAAAAGTGGCCTTGGGGGATGATTTTTTTTAAAGGTTGTATTGCCAGCAGCTTTGGAATAGCTTACGGTAAAAGAACCACCGGAATTATTAAGTGTCTACATAAAACCATGGAAGCTACCGACAGGCTCCCTGGGCCCGCGTCCCAGCCCCCCCACCAGCCCACGAAGCCGGCCCTCAGGTCAGGATGAAAGGAGAAGGAAATCGGGTTCAGCGACCCTCCGGAGCTCCCGCAGGATCGGATTGCTCGCGTTTCCTTTCTGCGGATTTCTTATCTCTGTGCTCGAAGCTAATCTTCCAGGAACAACTCTGCCCCCCCCTCCCATGAAACACTATCTCTTCCCAACCAAACAGGTCTTTGGTCCTCAGGGTACGGCGCCCCCACCCGCCCTCCTCCCTGGGGGTTCCCACGGCTCCGAGTCCAGGGCCTCTCTCCCTCCACGGCTTCTGTCCCCGTCTCGCACAGACGTGTCACCCGCGTGCCGGTCCCATCTCCAGTCACACGTCTGCTCCTGGAGGCGGAGGGAGGCGTGTTTGAGAGTCCAGCTGGCTTCAGCGGACCCCCAGGTTTGCAACAGGCTGAAAAACTCGCCTGACTTGCAGGGCGAGGGACAGAGTCCCGTGGGGAAGACTCTGGGGCAAAGCCAAACTGAGAAGGACCCCCTCGGCCCTGGCCACTGTGGCTCAGTTGGCCCAGCTTCGGTGAAAGGTCACCGGTTCGATTCCGATCAGGTCGGGGCTGTGCTTGGGTGGCCAGTTCCTCCCAGTTCTGTCTCCCTCTCTTTCCCCGCCACACTCCTCTCTCTAAAAAAAAGTAAATAAATAAAATCTTTCTTTGAAAAAAGATGATCCTAGCACAGAAATGGCAAGAAAATGCATCCCATATTTTAACTTGAATTTTTGATCCTGACCACAGTCAGTACCAAGGCTGATAGTAGCCCTGCTTGCTAACTACTCTCCTTGCCTAAGAGAACAAACTGTTTAAAAATAAAATTATATCATTTTACCCGTAAATGAGGTGATCTTGCTATCTTAATCTTTTTCGATATAACTATTCCTATTGCTGACCCAGAGGATGAGATTCAGCTCTTCAAATAGCTGTGCCTTGCGTTCCCAGCTCAGCTTCCAGGCTGAACTTTATTCCAGGCAAATGGAGTTTTAGCCAGAATGTTCTATTGAAAACTACCTTTTCCTCAAGAAAAAAGAAATGTGTCAAAACAATTTTGGACTTAAAAAATCGTCAACGCTAAGTGGACGCCCGAAGTGACCGTTGTCTCCGGGGACATCGGACAGCCCTGCGTTCTCAGGGACAGCCAGCGGAAGGTTGTGAGCCTTTGCTGTTCTGAAAGAAACCAAAGAAGGAACCTGTTTCATTTCACCGAAAAGGGACTGAAGAGCCCGGCAGGCCAGCCGGAAAAGTCCAGAAGGTTTTCGTGAAAACCTTAATGGAGTCAGAGGTGGGGGTTTGGGCCAAAGCGTTGGGGAGTGTGCTCATCAGCTGTCGGGCACCTGTCCTGTGAGCTGACAGCACAAGTCACAGGCTTTAATTTGTTTGCAGGGGGACGTCGAGACTGCATTCCTGTGCTTCGTGGGTGACAGAATCTACTTGAGAAAGGCAAAGAATCACACTGAAGGAAAATCTTTTTTTTTTAAGTTGCTTAACTTGATCTAAAATGTCACAGTAAGCTGGAGCCGTTGTCATTTAAAGTAAAAAGTTGTTGTTCCCGTGTAATCGAGGTTTCAGGGGAGTTTACACGGTGTGTAATAAGCGAAGCCATAATGTGTCTTTCTTCCCAGGAAAGGCACAGTTCCACTGTGTCGAGTCAGTTTCGGGAGGAGTCACGAAAAACCCCGTCTCCGCTCCTCCGTGCCCCACGTGGCTTTTCCTGCCTCATCGCCGGCACCCAAGATTTTCTACATTCTGAAACACAACGGGATTCGTGTGTGTGCGAATCAGACATGATGTCTTACAGACTTCTATTCAGAGTTAAGCTCTATACACTTGACTTTATTTTCTCTAGTAAGCAGCAACCACTTCAAAATCTCCGACTCAGAGTGCATGCTAAGCGTCTAACACAACCCCCGCGGAGCAGGCCGCTGTCTGGCAAAGCGCAGTTTCTCGGAACTGCTGCTGAATTTTATCTCAAATGAAATCTCAAAGTGCCGGACGCAGGAAATCCTGGCTGCGCAGTGCAGGCATGCGCCACTCGAAACCCCCGATTAAGCAGTAACCTGGCACCCTTCTCCGTCCAGCATGTCGGTGCCAACTGCAAAAATAGTTGCTGAATTTTTTTAATCTGCAAAGAGATGAAATGGGCCTAAAACCGTCCGCTTTGTCACCAGTAACCCCCCGCGGTGTCACGGGGGTAGACACAAATTCCAGCCGTCACGTTTACAGGCAGCCCCTTAACAGCTTTCCCACAGTGTCCAGGAATAAACGCAAGTATGCAAGACGTCTCAGAAAGGGTGGCGTCAAAGGAGACTGCGTCTTGAAAGAGCTGCGCTCCATCCGTCCACGGGCATCCGCACCCCAGGGCGAGGGCGCGCCCCACCCCCCCCCGCAGTGCCTTCAGCCGGCGCATGCGCAGGCCCACCCCCTTTAGCAGGCGCCGGTCCTGCAGGCGGCCTGCGTGCGCCCCAGGTCACAACGGCAGGCGGGGCGAGCCCGCGAAAGCGCAAACACGTGTGGGCTTCGAGGCCATGGGAAGCGCTGCAGAGAAAAGTAAAGCGGGTGAATCCGCATGAAGGCGCTGGATGGGGCTGGGCTGGCACTGGGGCGCCCTGTTCCTCACAGTGTCCACTCCTCACAGTGTCCAGGGAAGAAGGCCTTGGCACTCAAATTTTTTTTTAAGATTTTATTTTTAGACAGAGGGGAAAGGAGGGAGAGTCGGAGAAACATCAATGTGTGGTTGACTCTAGAGCGCCCCCTACTGGGGACCTGGTGCACAGCCCAGGCCTGTGCCCTGACTGGGAATCAAACTGGTGACCCTTTGGTTTACAGGCCGGCATTCCACCCACTGACCCACACCAGCCAGGCCTGGACTCTATATTCTTAAAACACGTGCTCTCTAGAAGGGTGATAATTTATGGAATATTGCAGGAAAGGGTGAGAGTCAAGTAGTATAATTAGCTAAAAAGTGTCCAAATTTAGAGAAATAGAGAAAGTATAGGCTAAGTGATCTCTTACTGTTGGATGCAGGGGAAAGGAAATAGGAGTAAAGTACACAAAACTATAAAATAAAATGTATTCGTTGGACACAGGAGTTACTGAATGGGCCAGAAGTTACTAGTCACACGTCAAATAAAACTGTAGTGTGTGCTTTGTTTGTGAAAGCTGAAACTTATGAAAAAAGGAATGAAATGCCGTGGCCGGGGGGCTCAGTTCATTGGAGTGTCGTCCTGTGCACCAAAAGGCTGTGGGTTCGACCCCCGGTCAGGGCACAGACTCAGGTTTTGGGTTTGATCTCTGGTGGGGGCTCGTACAGGGGGGCAACTGAACGATGGTTCTTTCTCATGTCAGTGTTCTCTCTCTCCCCCCTCTCCCCCTAAGATCAATAGACATATAAACATATATGTTTATAAATATAAAACATGAAAAAGGAATAAACCGAGATAGCTAGCTACTTGACTACTAAAAATCACACTTTTTCCATAGGTTTCTTCGGTCAGAAAGTGAGTAGTCCCGGTGCGTCCCAGGAACTCGGGGGGCCGTGAAGACCAGAACGGTGGATGCGCCCGGGTGCTCAGTCAGTCAGAAGGAGACACACTCCTGCAGATAAAGAATTAACAATTCACTCCGATTGGAAATAGAGAAGCACACACAGCAATAAACAAGAAAACCAGTGTCCCTACAGAATCTCAGCCGTCTGGGGCTCCCGTTAGGTCTTTAGAACATATGAATGGTCCGCTCCAAATCGCTGCAACTTTTATTTTTAAAACTTCCAACAAAGTGGAGCACGTCCCCCTTCTTTGTTCACTCGCTACCACGGTTCCCCTCCGACAGCTGGGTGTCGGTTTACTAACGTCTTCCCCTCTCCCTGTCTCCTCTCTCGTTTCTTCTTGTCCCCTGTAGCTCCCTCGGAAGAGAGGAAGCTGGAATCCAAATTGGGCTTCTTGCCTGTGTTTATTATTTGGGCTTTTCCCCACCCTGTTACAGAAAGACTTGAAAGAAGTTCCTGGTGTCTGCTCCACACACCTCGCCTTGCCCTAAATAATTGCTGTGGATCAAAGGAAGTGGGGGGGGGTGCGGAGTGATCAGCTGATAAGGCGCCTCCTTTGGTTCACCTGGCGGAGCAGCCTCACATCAGAGGGATGCCACACAAGGGCTGTTTTCTCCCGACGGGCAGCGGCTCCCCCTTCGTGGGGAAGGTGGGGGGAGCTTTATCTTCAGAGCAGAATGGAGTCGGTGAAAAGAGCTGTTTGTTTGTTCTACGGAATGGAGTGGAATCTAGTGGAGAAGGGAGGTGGAGACGGGATATTTGCTTTTTCTTAAGTGGGTATAATGAAAGCCTTCCACCCAATTGCTCAGCGAACCAGAAAAAGTTAATTTGCGGAGTTGGGGCTGTGTTTTAACAGCGCAGACCAGCCTTGCAGCCTTCTCTGTAGACACAGCTGCTCCCTAGCGGCACCTTGTGGCACGTAGGTCACCCTGCACCTCGGCTGCCTGAGTTGATGAGGAACCTGAGTTGTTGCTTTCTTCCTCCTTGCGGATTTCTCCTCTTAAAAATCAAGGGATTTTCGTGAATAAGTGTGTCAGTTATGTGTTTCTGGGTGACAGTCGCTGAACACCAGGCTGCACCTCCATGTGCAGAGTCCGGAGTTGTGTACCAAACGAGCAGCTGCAGTGACCTGTAAGGTGGCGTCACTCGGGTGTGGGCGGTTTTCCAGCCGGTTCACTCACCTCTGGTCCCTCTGCCCCTGCTTTCTAGGCGGGAACAAGGTGACCAGGCAGCGTTTCCACCTGAGCTGGGCCTGGATCTCCTTCGAGAAGGACTATTACCTGGTCAACGAGGACGCCAAGTTCCTGGATGTCGTGCTCCGGCGCAGAGGTTACTTGGGAGAGACTTCGTTCATCAGTAAGTTTCACGCCCACTCCCGTCACAGAAGCACGTGTTCCAGCAAAAGTTCCCAGTCGTCTGATGACTCGAAGGTGTTTAGGTCGCTGCTGCAGTTTTCAAGCTTCGGGAGATGTTGGCTTCGAATTGGCCTGTAATTAGCTAAAGAAAACGGGCCAGAGGTTTTGCGTCAGGATGCAGTCACCCAGACAAAAGGCTGTAAAAACAGGAAATGTGAACAAAAATATGTAGTCTGCAAACCCACACAGGGTCTCTCTGCTGATAGACGGTAACTTTGCAGAACCAGCAACAATCACTGGTAAGTTTTTTAAAAATTTAAAGTCACTAGATCTGAAAGAGGTGTAATTATGTAGGCAATTAAGTAGTTTATCCAGAAGGTAAAAGTCTGTCCTCGAACAGCACAGGTGAAGGCCACCTTAATGGTAAACAGACTATTCCGCGACCTGTTAGGGGCGCGGGCCAGCGACGTGCAAAAGCCTTGGGGAGAAGCTGCCTTCGCCCAGCGGGAAAAGGCTGAGACCGGGTCTTGCGATTCCGTGCAGGTATCGGCACCAGGGACGGGACGGCGGAGAAAGACAGGGACTTCAAGGGCAAAGCGCAGAAGCAAGTGCAGTTCAACCCGGGCCAGACGCGGGCCGCCTGGCGCGTGCGCCTGCTGAGCGACGGGGCGCACGAGCGCTCGGAGACGTTCCAGGTGGTGCTGTCGGAGCCCGTGCTGGCCGCCCTGGAGCCGCCCGCCGCCGCCACGGTGGAGATCGTGGACCCCGGGGACGGTAAGGAGCGGGCTGCTGCGGGGGTGGGGCTCCTATGACCGATACTCTGTTAGGAAAGTTTTGTATCGATGTTTGGGCTTTGCGCGGAGAGCCATTCCCGGGCTGGGGTTTCCGAATTCTCAGCTGTGCTACCGGGAGAGGGAGCCCGAAATCAATGAAGGGACGTCATTGTTTTCATGTACATGAACGATAAATAAGCATGGGATCGTTGAGTTCTTTCTCTTACTACAGTTTTATCGATGAGAACTAGCATTTTTCTTCAATTAATTCCTTACTTTTAAAGTCTCTTAATTGTCTTTAAAAACTGTGCTTTAGATAAATAGTGTACGAATGGGATCGCTCCGGGGCGGATTTGTTCCGCACATTACACGCAATTATTCCAGTTGCCCTCAGTCCCCGGCCCAGAGATTTCCATTTTGCTGTATGTTTCCAGATCTGTTCCGTAAATGCCCCTCCCACCCACAGTCCCCCTCCTGGGTGTTTTGCTCTTCATTTCTGATAGATTGCATTTGCTTGTCAGTGCACACCCTTGGCTGCTGTTGCTAAAAGTAAACTCCACTGCTTTTACGTGTAACTCGACCTGTGCCTCCCTCCTCCTGCCCCACGTCTACAGTCTTGGCTTGTCTCATTGCAGCTGGGGGGGGGCGGGGGGGAGGTTGCGTGGCTTTTGAAGGCTGGTATTTATAAAAAGCTTGGAAAGACTCCTCCAAAGCTGAAATCCTGTCAGAAGCCAGACATGAGTTTCTTTTCTGCTGCCAGCCTGCTTCATGTTGCTGCCAGGAAACCCTTAACTGCTCTAAGGAGATACAATCGCCCGAGTGCATGAGAGAGATGCGTGTGGGAATCTGCAGGTTAAAACCCTGCGAATAATTAACGAGAGAGGAGAGAGAACCAGAACTCTGGTTCCGTGTGTTTGACTGACCTCTCAGCCCTTGGTTCCAGGTGAAGTTCAGTTCTGTCTGATTTCCATGCAGGGCGTCAGCATTTCATGACATGAGCGTTACTGTGTGAGTGAGGGACAAGTGACTGGGTTTTCTTCCAGCCCCGAGTGCGGGGTCAGTGAGCCAGTAACAGAGAAACAGCCCCTCCCTTTCGAACGAGCCCGTGGCGGCGTTAATACAGATGAACTGGCTCCTTCGTCAGAGTTTGTTCCAAGTCACCTCTTGCTATTTCATTCTCCAAGCTGTACGAATGCCACGCTCTACTACAGGGACTGAGACAGTTAACCCCGTCGTATTAATACGCCCAGAGAGACACTCTCTACCTCTAATGGGTCCGAGAAGTGGGATATTAAACACAAAATATGGTCTACACACAATAACACACACACGCATACACACTCCTTCTACAATCTGCAGTCTTGCAGGCTGCCAAACGAAACTTCACGATCATTCCGTTTCCCGTCATGACCGTCTGAGGCATCAGACAATTTTCTGGGGGATGTGCAGCCCTCCTTCCTGGCCGTGGCCCCCCCAGAGTCACCGCCACATGTCCCATGACGCCCATTCTGTCCCATGTCGTCTCGGAGACCGGTGGTCTCGACATCACAAGACCCGAGGTTCGAGTCCCAACTCCGCCACTTCTAGTTGTGCGGCCCGAGACGAGCCAGACAGCTTGCGTGGGGCCGCCTGCCGCAGAGGCCGAGGGAAGCGTCCTTATCCTCGCGTGGCACGTTCTCGTGAAGAGTTCTGGGAAACGCGAACCCCAAGTGTCCCTGCGTCTGATCTCATAAACGCCACGTTAGACGTCAAGCCACTGAAGAGTCCCCCTTGTTGCCATCTCAAGTGTGTCAGGGTCCAGTGTGTTTCTAACTCTCATGGGCCTTCGCCGCAAAAGCGTCGTGCCTGTGAGCGCTCTGTCCGTCCGTCCATCCGTCTGCACGCTGGATCCAGGACAGGCAGTGAGATGTTTTCACGCAGCAGGGAAGCTGGGCCTGGCGCACAGGCCTGCTGCGTGCCGACGGTCAGTCGGCGCCCTGGGAGCCCGGAGCGGACCAGGGCCGTCCCGGGATCCAGGAGCACGTGGCCTGCGGGGGAGGGACCCTGTGGTGGGCGATTGCAACAGAGCGCGGTGTGCCGGGGGCGGGAAGGCGCCGTCGCCGGCTTTGCGCTGTTTGGGGGGCACTTCTCCTCGTTCTCCACTTTGGTCCTCGCAGCAGCACCCGCTCTCCCAACACACGGGACTTACCTTCCCCCGGCGCGCGCTGACGGCGGCGGGGGCGCTCACTGGGCATGCGCCCTGCACTGCACCTGTCTCCTTCCCCGTCTCTGTGCCCCGCCCTGTCGCCCGCGCCCCGTTTCGGGAGTTTCGCCTGATGTTTACTGGGTGCTCTCAGCTTCACGTGTGGCAACTTGTAGCATGCTGGTTCCCAAATCTACCACACACACGGACACATACACGTGTACATATGTGTCCTGGATTCTCACCTGTTCATAAATATGCTCTTGGAATGCTCTCCATCCACTTGTTTAAATTGCATAGTTGTGATTTAGGTACAGCTGATGCATTTTATTAAATACACACGTATCTACTATGTTCGCTGCAAAAATAGTGATGCATGTAGGAGCTTGTGCAGGAGAGAAGCGTCGACCAGTTGCCTCTCGCATGGGCAGGCCCCGGTCAGGGACCGAACTGCAGCTGAACCCACCACCTTCGGGTTCACAGGGCGATGCCCGACCCTCTGAGCCACAGCGGCCGGGGCCACACCTTGTTTCTTTTTGCTGCTCTAGCTGCTCACCGCCCTAAGAAAAACAAACAACTTTTTGTTGAAAACAAATACAGACAAGATACTTGTTTCCGGCACCGTAGAGTGGAGGAGAAAAAAGGCGGTGCAGAGCAAAACGCTTCCAGTGATTTGAAACGCTCTGAAAGTGTCTACATCTACAAAATGAAAACATGTAATAATACGAACAGGACCCAGAGAGCCACCTAAGCAGCCTATGCTGAAGAGCGGTCCTGGAACCCGCCCAGTCCTCACGGGGAACGGCAGCACTTACTACGTTACTTAGATACATTGTCATTGTTCTCATGTGTTCCTTTCCAAGCCCCTGTGGAAATTAGCCAGTCTTGCTACACCTGTTTCAGAGGTGTAAGAGAACTGTCCAAGTTCAAACACAACATGGACAGAGTCTGTATTCAGTTCCCCTTGTCCAGCAGGCTTCTGGGCACCGAAGTAGCCTGGAGGTGTACCGGAATGTCTTCCAGAAGGTTCTGAATGCGCCAGACTTTTTCAAAACAACCAACCCTGGGTGCCTTACCCACACACGGCATTTTCTTTCCCCTCTTTGTTCTGCGATAACGAGAAAATGTAGAAGGGATTTTGTTTCTATCAGATTCTTAGCAGGGTCTGTTTTTTTCCATCTATTCAGTATAATTGAGAAAAGGTCAGTTGGAACATTGCCTTTCAAATGTAGCTACAACTCCTTTATTTCTGAGAACAGAAGTCATTTTTTTTGCCTGAGTTACAGCAGTTAAACCTAAAAATAAAAGCATCAGTTGCAAATGAAAGTGCTCATCGCACTACAGTCACACTGACTGATTTTTTAAAAAATATGTTCACTTCATTAGGCTTCAAAATGAAGAGTAAAGAAACCAATCTGAAAATATAAAAATCAACACAAGTTCATTGTGAGAAAAGTGAGAGATTTAAACAACAGCGGTCACATGCAGTCCGACCCTGCGGCAGTGACCGCCGTTGGGTTTGAGAGGGCGACCCCACGGCCCCCCTGCCCCAGTCCGTCCCCGGCCACTCGGGTGGAGTCTGCTCTTCCTGCAGGGCGGCCCTCGCACCCTCCCGCTCACCTTCCGGACGCGCTGGGCTCCCGGGACAGGACACGTTCTGTTCCCTCGTTACTAGTGCACCTGTACGCGTTGCAACGCACACGCGTTGATGTGTGCGTATGTTTGTGTCTGTACGTATGTCAATATGTGCATGTACACCTGTATGCGTGCTGATGTGTGCATATGTTTGTGTGCCTGCATGCATGTAAATATGTGCATGTGTATATGTATGTGCACCTGTATGTGTGTTGATATGAACTGTATACGTTTGTGCTCTTTGTAATAACACCTTGGCAATTTCATTAATGGGCACATTCTATACGATATGCTCTTACCCAATACTTTTGTAATGTCATGTATTACAAATCACGTGCGCGTGTTATCTCTACACGCACGATGCTTCTAAAACACAGAGGCTCTTTGAAAGGACTCTCAAACTATCTGTGTCTAGCCTTCTTTTTTAGTTTCTGCCGTGCCTGCCGCCTCTGAGCTCAGCGTCAGCGCTCTCGTCATCTCAGCTGAGCCCCTCACTTTTCCGCGGCATGAATGTTGCTCCCACATACCCCGGCTGTTCTTTTAGGAATGCAGCACGGTGGCTACGAACTTGACCTCCAAGACAGACTTGTTGGGCTCAAATCCGGGCACCGCCGCCCACCAGCCCACGCTCCACGCCTCACGCCCTCGGGGCCGCGGCGACGGTGCGAACAGGCCGCCTGGAGAGGATGAAAGGACACCGGCGGCGCCGCGGTCGGAGCAGGGCCGAGCAAACAGCAGGAACTCCGCCCACGGTGGCCAGGCCTTTGAAGGGTGACAGGAGGACACTGCTCCTCGGGATCCCCCCTCAAGAAGCCTCCTCCGGGGGCCTGCGGCTCCCACAGCGTCGGGAGGAGCAACGTTCACCAAACGCCTCTCAGGGGCGTCCTCCTGCCCCCCCAGTTTCTCTCCCACGGACAGCAGGGCCCTGCCGGAGGTGCAGGCAGCAGAAGACCGACCCGCGGGCTGGGCCCGGCACCCGCTGGACACCGGCCTCCTCATTTCATTCACAAGTCCCACCCGCGGGTGCTCGCGAGAAGCCCCGGCTGGTTTAATGAAACCCACGGGGTTGGGGGGCGACACCGGAGCTCAGGCGGCCAAGGGATGGCAGTCCCACACGCGTGGGCTTTTCTGAGCCACTCGGGAAAAAGATAATGGCCAATATAGATGATACTTGGTAAAATCTGAATGGTAGGAATAATTTTTACCCATACTAAAACTCATCACTTTTAAAAATAAGTAAAAAAATCTCTCTCTAAGTACCGCTTTGCTTGTATTTAAAGCAAAACTCCTCAAAAGAAGTGTCTGTGCCCCCCCCCTCCAGTTCTCTCCCCCGTCCCTGGGACCCCGCTCTGGGGGCGGCGACGGGGGGGGGGGGGCTTCTCTCTGCTGAACCTGACGATCGGTCCCCGACTCTGGATGTGCTGGACGTGTGAGCCAAGTTGGAAACAGCTGACCACTCCCCGCCCCCTTTTTTAGTACTTTCTCCACCTCACCACGGTTCCAAAGCCTTCTTGTGCTTTTAGACCGAGAGGCTGGGTGTACAAACAAGCACAGACCGCACATTAAAACACACTTTGGCCCACGGCCCCCAGCTCCTGGGGGGCCCCGGCCACACCTGGGCAGCGGTCGGCCCCAAAGGGCCGGGGCTTGGTCAGGAAGCCGCCGCTTTCTTCACTCCGGTCCTCACTTTCGGCCCAGACCCTCCAGTCACAGGGCCTGCACTCGGGGGGCCCTGACGCCCCCCCTACTCCACACCAAAGCTTCCTCGCTCCTCCGCCTGCCTTTGAGCCTCTGCTGGAGCCGAGGCTGACCCGGCAGCCACCCAGCCCCAGGCACGGCCCTGGTCCCCACCCTTGCCCCCTCGCCCCCTCGGCTCCCACCACCCAGCGCACGCCTGCCTGCTCCTCGCACCCGCCCGGCACTGCCTGGCCTGAGGCCCTTCCCACGGGCTCAGCCCCTTGCCCGTCACACACAGAGCAGCTCTCTCCGAGGTCTTCCTCCCCCGACCTTCCTGTGAGACCCGGCCCACTCACAGGCTCCCCTTCCCTGGCTGGCCCAGAGGAGGCCAGAACACGGGGAGCCCTGTGACGTGGTCCCCTGAGCCGGATCCAGGGGCCGGGAAAGTGGAGGGGAGCTGCGCTCGCCACTCCAGGGGCCCCTCCCAGCCATGAGCAGCAGCGCTGCGACCTCCACCTCCAAATAAAGGAACGGTTATTTTTAAAAGGAAAGAAGGAAACCAAGTGTTGAATGATGCATTACTATGTTTTAGTCATCCAAAAGGGACACATTTCGGGTGAAAAGAACAGATCTAGTAGATCTAACAGGATCCGGGCTTTAACCCTGACTCACCAGGACGAGTCCTTAACAAATAAGTTCCAATCTGTGAGCTGGAGTTTCCCCGTCCGTGAAGTAAGAGACAGCACAGCATGACTGGGGAGGTCCCCAACTCCATGATGTGACCGCTCGGTGGGAAGGGGTGGCTTCGGGCCCAGGGGACAAAGCTGGGGTCAAAGGACGTGGGCCACCAGCACCTACTGATGGGACGGAGACAATTTCTGGGGGGAGACGCAATCTTGGGTTTTATTTCTGGGTGAGGAATTCACCGGCCCGGGGCCCACATGCTTTATACCGACTCCCCTCTCCCTTCCCTGGCACGGGGTCATTCTAACAGAGAAGGGGAGAAATCAGCCGTTGCAGATGCTTTAATTTGCAGGGACTGTTTCTGAGAGAAGAAGCTCAGGCACAAGTAACACGACTGTGACTGTGTTCTCTCCTTAGAATCCACTGTGTTTATTCCGAAGTCTGAGTACTCGGTGGAGGAGGACGTCGGCGAGCTGTGGGTCCCCGTCAGGAGGAGCGGGGACGCCAGCCAGGAGCTGATGGTGATCTGTTACACGCAGCAAGGTAGCGTAAGATGCCCCCCGGGTACCAGGAAGCCTCTTTAACCCATTGTAGACACGGCCTCGGGCCTGGAGTGGAGCATTTTATGTTACAAGTTTCGTGAGAAAGGATTAAAACCTCAAAGGATTCTGCTTCGACTTGCTCAGAAATAGCTGATCCGTTCAGTTGTTCATTCTAGTATCAAATGTGCTGTGGGTCCCATGAACTTGAAGCCCCTCCCCCACCCAAGGCCGCTCAGGTGGAAGGAGTCCTCATTTAAAAATAAAGGAAAACAAAACAAAGTGTCAAAGAAGTGCAAACCCAAGGAAAGAAACTAATGGTAAACCAATCAGAAATTCACCATCATCAGTTTCAGGATATTTGTTTTGCTGATGAGCAAGCGCCTCTCAAAGTTGACTTTATGAGATACAAAGTTAAAATGGATACTTAGTGTTCATTAGTCAAGTAGACTTCCTGGGAATGTGGAAGAAAAAGCATCTACAATGTTGCTGTCCTTCACCTCCCTGCTGGAGCTAGTGCACATGCGCGGGAAGGTGCAGGAGGGTGGTGGCCACAGCCAGAGACCTCAGGATACGGGGTCCCAGAGCAGGGAGTTTAACTTCTTTAAGCCCCAATCACCAGGTGCATAAAGCCCGGCCCAAGAGAGCAGAGTGGTCGGTCCATGAGGCATGAAACAGCTGCAGGCCACCAGTACACAGCGCACATCCGTTAGCGGGAGCTGTTGTTCTGTTTCACCGGGTTGCTCTCAGAGACCACTGGCAGGAAGTAGAGAAGATGTTTGAGCCCTGGCTGGTGCGGCTCAGTGGACTGAGCAGCAGCCTGCAAATCACAGGGTCACTGGTTCAATTCCCAGTCAGGAACATGCCTGGATTGCGGGCCAGGTTCCCTAGTAGGGGGCACACAAGAGGCAACCACACATCGATGTTTCTCTCCCTCCCTTTCTCCTTCATGTCCCCTCTGTCTGCAAATAAGTGTTTTTTAAAAAGGAAGCATCTGGAATGGACTATTTGCCCCAGGTTTGAGGCCATGGGGAAGTTGACCCACGGTGCCAGGCCGGTGACCAGGGACAGTGTCCAGGCTCATTCACAGACAGTAACTGACCGTCACAACGCTGTGTGCGGTGTGGTCTCTGGAACCGGGTCAGGGTCAAACACTGTCACCCTCTCCCTGCATCCAGGCTCGGCGAGCGGCACCGTGCCCACCTCGGTGCTGTCCTACTCCGACTACATCTCCAGGCCCGAGGACCACACCAGCGTCATCCGCTTTGACAAGGACGAGCGCGAGAAGGCGTGCCGGGTCGTGGTCATCGATGACTCCCTGTATGAGGAGGAGGAGGCCTTCCAGGTCCTTCTGAGCACGCCCATGGGCGGGAGACTCGGGTCCGAGTTCCCGGGGACTCGGGTGACCATTGTCCCCGACAGAGATGACGGTAAGTACCGGTTCCCCTGCAGAGGCTTCCCAGGCAGCCGGCGCGGCCGCGGGCGAGACGGCCCCGTGCGGACTGACTCCACGCTGGACGGCAGCGTATGATGAGTCTCACACAGGCTGCACCCAACAATGTGTCTTAATTTAATGTTTTTAAAGGGCAGACATCACGCCTGTGCGGTCTCTCCCTCTGGGTGATGCCGTTTACCATCAGCTGATGAAACTTTTAAAATTTCATGGTGCAGAATTGAAGCAATTTGGATCAATTAAATCTTTTTGTTTGTTTTGTTTTGCTCTCAAAGCTTTTGTTTTTTTTTTTGTCAGTTAAATCTCAGAACTCACTTTTCAAAGAAAGGCATCAGACAGGCTGTGCAGTGAATAACTAGACAGGTCATACATTTATGGAAAAGTCAGTTTAACAGGCATCTCTGTGCTCCCAAAACGAGGGGTGAGGGAGGCCACTCTTCCGGGGGAAGGGAAATTTCCGCCCCGTGATCCCTGCACTCGACGGTCTTCCCAGTTCAGGAAACTGGTTCGCTCCTTCTCGGGAGCGGGGAGAAGGAAGGAGCAGGAAGGAAGGTGGCCACAGATCTGGAGGGAGAAGTGAGAGCAGCCAGCGGACAGGAGGGCCCAGGACACCGACGTCTTCCTCCTCCCTCTGGAATGTTCCACACGGAGGGTCAGAGGGAGGAGCTGGTGTGATGCGACTTTGGTTCAGGAAAAGCTGGACGAAGGTCAAAAGACTGTCACCTGAAATCACCTTAAAACTCGGGAAGTTTTTACCTTAACGTAGATTATACCCAGCATGGTCGAGTATATTTAAATGTTGCTTTAGTGTTTCATTTAGTAAAACAATTCCATTTTAGATGTAGGTAAACACAGAAGTTTTGTTTTAAGTCCAGTTGCTTCCAGAAAGTAAGCCAGCATTTGGCGGGGCAGCCCAGACAGAACCGACGGTCCCCTCAGGCTCCTCTGGGCCCCCTTCTACTTCTGTCGGGATGAAAAGATACAGGTAGATCTCATTTTAAGACTTAAAATAGAATTAATGATGACTTCGTTTCAGTTTGTTTTGTTGGGGGAAAATCTTCCCCAGTGATTACTGTGGGATGCAGATGGGGAAAAATAAAATCACAGCAGAAGTGTGTATTGAAGTGAATCGATTTGATGTTCTCCCACTTAAGTCTGGTTCCTGTCCATCAGCGCAGAGCTCCAAAAATCCTTTTTTTACTTATGAAGAGAACCTCTAGGATTTAGTAACTGTTAAATATTATTGGCAAGGACCAGCAACTTAGCAACATGTGAAACAGTGTTACTAACTCACAGCCTCCACGCAGCCTGCGCATTCCCAGGGCTTGTTTTATAGCCAGAAATTTGTGCCTTTAACCTGCTTCCCCCACGGCGCCCACCCCCGGCCCCTGCCTCGGGGAACCACCCACTCCCCTCCGTGTTTATCGGCTGTTCTTCCTGTTTAGATGCCACGTACAAGCGCGATCATCGGGCATCGTCTTTCCCAGTCTTACTTCACTGGGCATCGTGCCCTGCAGGTCCATCCCTGCCGCCGCCATTAGAAGGAGTTCCGTGAATCTCTTACCGAACAGCATCCCGTCGTACGTACGTGCCGCGCTTTTTAACCCCCCCCCCCCCCGTGGACACTTCGGTTGTTCCCACGTCATGGCCTTTGTAAAGACAGCGCCGTGAGCCTGGGTCAGCTTTGCGTCCTTCAAGTAGTTCCAGAGGTGGGATTGCTGGGTCTTAGTTGTGTGTCCCTTACCGAGCGGAGCCCCGAAAGTCTAGCGCCCCCGACACCACGCAGAGTTATCACCGCGTTATTGACGATGTCCCCGAGACCTGGAATTACACCCTCCGTCCCTGTAACTGGCCACTGGTGTGAGTTAATCCCATCCTCACCCAAGCACCCCCCATCCTCTTTGGGTCCGTCTGCGGATTTGATTCTGTCTGGCTTATTCATTGACTTTATTTTTCACGTCCCGTGGGTAAGTGAAGTCATCTCTCATGTGCCTCCTCTGGCCTATTTCACTTGCCGTAACGCCCTCTGGGTGCATCTGTGTGGCTGTAAGCGGCAAGGTTTCACCCTTTTGTCTGGCCAGGTCGTGTCCCATTGAACACAGGCCCGGCCTCGTCTTCGTCCCGCCGCCCACCAGTGGTTGTAATCGACGCCGCAGTGGTCACAGGGTGCGTGTGCGTTTCCGAATTAGTGTTTCCGGTTCTTCACCAGTGCGCAGGGGCTCCCTTCACTCCCTGTTCTCGCCAACACGTGTTACCAGCGTTTTGGTCAAGTTTTGTTAATGTCTCTAAAGCGCCGTTTCCGTGAGTAAAATGAGGTGGTGATTCTACCTGCGCTTTTTCGTTGTGGAAGTTGACATCGTCCGATGGTGGCCGGCCTGTCGCGCGCCCAGTTTATCCACGGAAGCACCGCGGCCGCCCAGGAAGGGTGTCTGTGCAGGTGTTCACACGTCCGTCGTGGAGAAAAACGGCCAGTGCGTGCGGAGGAAGCCAGATTCCATTCTTGAGCAACAAGACAGACGCTCTACGAACGGCGGTCACCTTGGAGCGCTTACCATGTGCCAAGGACTTGACGTGAGGTGTCCAGTTAAGCCTCCAGACAACTCCGTGGAGTAGAGGTCATCTCCTTCATCTGCCGGATGGGAAAACTGGACGGAGAGGCGCCGAGGACACTGCTGGAGGTCACACAGGTGTGAAGCTGTGGGCGTGCGTCCCGGGTGCAGGCCTACTGTGCGCAGAGTAAATGCGCTTCGTCACTCGGCTCCGGCGAACCTTCCGATTATCAACTGAAGGGAAGCCCGGGGCGTAGAACCCAGAAGAGAATGGCCCAGTGCAGGTCAGCGTCGGCACAGGGGCGTCATCTCAGTGTCTCAGTCACCGGGAGGTGCAGAATTGGAGAGGGGGTGTTCAAGCCTGCTCCCCAGGTGGCTGAAACCCCCACATGCCTCTCCGGCGCTGGTCGCCGGGTCGTTTTGTTCCGTGCGTGGGGGTGGGGGCACCGAGGACACAGCAACCAACCAAGAGGTGAAGCCTTGTAACAGTGTAACTTACAGAAACTGGTTTTTTTTAAGTTGATTGGTTCTCCAAAGCTAGATCACTCCTCAGCAAAATTCGAAGGTGACTTTTCGGTGCCCACGGGGTGGACGACCCCAGGCTGGGCTGACTTATCTTAGGTGCAAGCGTCCGAAGATCTCAGGTGGGGACCAGCCGCTTTCTCTGCACCCACCAAACCTCAGCAGTAGGAGAGTAAAGCGAGGACTTGAAGTACAGACGTGTGTCCTGGGAAATCTGTGCCCCGTCTTTAAGAAACAGCTCAAATCTTTTCTGTGTTTGAAAGGGATTTAGCAAGAGCCACAGGCAGCAACACACTGAGAGGAGAACCGTGCCGTGTTCTGTGCTGATGACCTACGGACCCTTCACTAGGGCCTTTGGTCTTCGGTGCCCCCATAAAGGCCACAATTTAATACTAGGGTGTTCGTTTATGAGGAAGAGTATTAAGTCAGTGCTAGTAATATTTCACTAATCTGTGCTGTCTGTCCTTGGAGGTTAATTAAGAAATACTGAAGCAGAAACCAGCTTTGTGTGACTGCCCGTGAGGGTTTTGGCTAAAGAGGCTTCTTCCTTGACCACCCTGGAAAAGTTACCTTCTGAATGGGGGAGGGAGGGCGGCCTGAAGTCCTGCCTGTGAACGGGACTCATTTCAGCACAAGCTCATTTACATCAGAAAAGCGGGTGGGAAGGCAACCTGCGGTGTGGTGTGCAAAGCAAAGCCAGAAGTTAACTCCCGGCAGGCCAGTCCTTGTGAGGAAGGGCCAAATACAAAATTACATTTTGTATTTAGTCTGCTCGAGTTGGAGCAACATTAAAAATCGGGAAATGGAGAAGTGAGATTCCGGCCGTTGAACGAATTTCAGCAGGGCAGCCGCCCACGGGCTGTTGAGATGGTGGCGAGAGCGAGGGTTCACTGGGAGTCAGCGGCGCTCAGGGCGACCGAGAGTTCAGGGCATGATGGACACTATACCCGGTTTTCCACGTGGGAAGGGCATTAAAAGTAATGGTGTGGATACCACGGCAGTCACAGAAATGAAATGGAGTGAGGCTGGGCATGTGAGACGCCAGCCATTTAAAAAACCTCCACGCACCACGCACACCCCACGGCCAGTGTCTGCTGTGCACCTACTAAGTGGTAGGTGCGGACTGCGAAGACATTTGAGACATCAGCCAGGGCGCTTAAAATCTACTCAGAAGGAGAAAGCTAAGCACAGAAGGTTAAAGAAGAGCAATGTGTTCCACCGTGTGAAACGGTGGGGAGGGGGCAAGAAGACAGCGGTGTGATCGCTCTGTGAGTCGGAAGAGGAACGAACGGGATGAAAGGCTTCAAGGGGCAGAGAGGGTTTAGGTGGCTGGAGAGCACGGCAGAGCGTTCTGGGGCCGGGAGAGCGAGGCTGGCTTTGGGGAGCAGGGCGCAAACCAGTCTGGCCAGGTCGCCTTTTCTCAGAAAGACTGAGTGCCCGGCTGTCTGGGTTGGATGTTAGGAGACCGGGGCTGTAGCTACACTTTTGCTACTTTCTGGTCCAGGACTCTTGCCCAGCCCTTTTCTCCCTGCTTTCCGCACCTGAAACGGAATAACGTTGCTACCCGGACTGCTTACTGCACAGAGTTTTTCAAGGCCCTGAGAGAAAGAGAGAGATTCTTTTTTTTTTTTTTTAAGATTTTATTTATTTATCTTTAGAGGGGAAGGGAAGGAGAGAGGGAGAGAAACATCAATGTATGGTTGCCTTTCATGCATCCCCTGCTGGGAACTGGCCTGCAGGGAACCAGCCTACCCCGGTATGTGCCCTGACTGGGAATCGAACCACGATTGTCTGGTTCGCAGGCCCGCACTCAATGCACTGAGCTACACCAGCCAGAGAGATTCTTTATTTCCCTGGGACTGTATTAGTTCTGGGTGTGGGGTGGACCAGGCGCTTTCTCCAAATG